TGGCGGAAATGACAGATAGGCAACTTCCAATTAAAAACAATTTTTCTACTGCTCTATGTGGTGAACCAGAGCAAATCAATAAGCAACAGCATTTGTGAACAAAAACATATCACCAATATTTTTAAATTAAAAACAATCCAAAAAATGAAAAAACATGAATTTGTGTTAAAATTCAGCAAATCATTTCTTCACTGTTTTCTACATGCTGAACTAGAGCAAACTAGTACAAACTAGAGCAAACCCTTTATGTCATCATTACCTTAACATAACCTTAATATAACCAGTTGAATAACAGATAAAATAGGCAATATATTTTGAAATTGAAAACTTATATGCCTATACAGTTGAAGTCGGAAGTTTATATACACTTTGGTTGGAGTCATTAAAACTCCTCCACTCCACAAATGTCTTGTTAACAAACTATAGTTTTGACAAGTCGGTTAGGACATCCACTTTGTGCATGACACAAGTAATTTTTCCAACAATTGTTTACAGACAGATTATTGCACTTATAATTCACTGTATCACAATTCCAGTGGGTCAGAAGTTTACATACACTAAGTTGACTGTGCCTTTAAACAGCTTGGAAAATTCTAGAAAATGATGTCATGGCTATAGAAGCTTCTGATAGGCAAATTTACATCATTTGAGTCAATTGGAGGTGTACCTGTGGATGTATTTCAAGGCCTACCTTCAAACTCAGTGCCTCTTTGCTTGACATCATTGGAAAATCAAAAGAAATCAGTCAAGACCTCAGAAAAAGAATTGAGACCTCCACAAGTCTGGTTCATCCTTGGGAGCAATTTCCAAACGCATGAAGGTACCACGTTCAATAGTATGCAAGTATAAACACCATGGGACCACGCAGCCATCATACCGCTCAGGAAGGATACGCGTCTGTCTCCTAGAGATGAACGTACTTTGGTGTGAAAAGTGCAAATCAATCCCAGAACAACAGCAAAGGACCTTGTGAAGATTCTGGAGGAAACAGGTACAAAAGTATCTATATCCACAGTAAAACGAGTCCTATATCGACATAACCTGAAAGTCCGCTCAGCAAGGAAGAAGCCACTGCTCCAAAACCGCCATAAAAAAGCCAGACTACGGTTTGCAACTGCACATGGGGACAAAGATCTTACTTTTTGGAGAAATGTCCTCTGGTCTGATGAAACAAAAATAGAACTGTTTGGCCATAATGACCATCGTTATGTTTGGAGGAAAAAGGGGGGACGCTTGCAAGCCGAAGAACACCATCCCAACCGTGAAGCACGGGGGTGGCAGCATCATGCTGTGTGGGTGCTTTACTGCAGGAAGGACTGGTGCACTTCACAAAATAGATGGCATCATGAGGAAGGAAAATTATGTGGATATATTGAAGCAACATCTCAAGACATCAGTCAGAAAGTTAACGCTTGGTCGCAAATGGGTCTTCCAAATAGACAATGACCCCAAGCATACTTCCAAAGTTGTGGCAAAATGGCTTAAGGACAACAAAGTCAAGGTATTGGAGGGGCCATCACAAAGCCCTGACCTCAATCCTATAGAAAATATGTGGGCAGAACTGAAAAAGCGTGTGCGAGCAAGGAGGCCTACAAACCTGACTCAGTTACACCAGCTCTGTCAGGAGGAATGGGCCACAATTCACCCAACTTATTGTGGGAAGCTTGTGGAAGGCTACCCGAAACGTTTGACCCAAGTTAAACAATTTAAAGGCAATGCTACCAAATACTAATTGAGTGTATGTAAATGTCTGACCCACTGGGAATGTGATGAAAGAAATAAAAGCTGAAATAAATCACTCTCTACTATTATTCTGACATTTCACATTCTTAAAATAAAGTGGTGATCCTAACTGACCTAAGACAGGGAATTTTTACTAGGATTAAATGTCAAGAATTGTGAAAAACTGAGTTTAAATGTATTTGGCTAAGGTGTATGTAAACTTCAGACTTCAACTGTATATATATATAAAATCAGCTCCTTGAACGTGGGAATATGCCAGGCCTATTTGGCCAAAATCAAATATATATATATATTTTTTTTTAAATCTCTACCCAGCCTGGCAAGAGTGGCCAAAAGGGTGTTTAGCATCCCCAGTGGCTCTGCAAGTGTGGAGAGGATATTCTCCGCTGCTGGCCTGCTATCCAGGCATCATCGCATGAGCCTGAAGCTAATGATTTAATAACAACAAAATGTTGTTTAAATGCTGCTTGCTTTATGTCCCTACCAGCCTATTGTGTTGCACTCACAAATGCTTCACAATGTATTTCTTTGTAGGCTATAGCCTTGAAATAATATAGCCTAAATAATTCATTTTCGTTCCTTCTTAGGCTCCCTGCCTGGCTCCTGCTGTTTAAAATGACATGTAGCCTATTTGAAATTATGTTCGCTTCATACATTCACCATGTTTATTGAAATACTTTTCATTGAAATCCATGTGGTTGGGTTTCAATACTTCAAAACGTTTGCGTTTTTCTGGATTTTTCTGTTGTTGTTCTGTATTTCACTGTTCAAATAAACCTACCATTAAAATTATAGACTGATCATGTCTTTGTCAGTGGGCAAACTTACAAAATCAGCAGGGGATCAAATTCTTTTTTCCCTCACTGTATCTGGTGTAATTCTCCTGTCTTATCTGGTGCCCTGTGTGAATTGAAGTATACTCCCTCTAATTCTCTCTCTCTCTCTCCCTTCCCTCCCGGAGGACCTGAGCCCTAGGACCATGCCTCAGGACTACCTGGCCTGATGACTCCTGGCTGTCCCCAGTCCACCTGGTCGTGCAATGCTCCAGTTTCAAGTGTTCTGCCTGCGGCTATGGAACCCTGACCTGTTCACCAGACATGCTACCTTGTCCCGGACCTGCTGTTTTCGACTCTCACTCTCACTCCCTCCCTCTCTCTCTCTCTCTCTACCGCACCTGCTGTCTCGACCTCTGAATGCTCGGCTATGAAAAGCCAACTGACATTTACTCCTGAGGTGCTAACCTGTTGCACCCTCTACAACCACTGTGATTATTATCTGATCCTGCTGGTCATCTATGAACGTTTGAAAATCTTGAAGAACAATCTGGCCTTAATGGCCATGTACTCTTATAATCTCCACCTGGCACAGCCAGAAGAGGACTGGCCACCCCTCAGAGCCTGGTTCCTCTCTAGGTTTCTTCCTAGGTTCCTGACTTTCTAGAGAGTTTTTCCTAGCTACCGTACTTCTACATCTGCATTGCTTGGTGTTTGGGGTTTTAGGCTGGGTTTCTGTATAAGCACTTTGTGACACCTGCTGATGTAAAAAGGGATTTATAAATACATTTGATTGAATTTGATTGATTGACCTGGCACCTACTACTATACCCCGTTCAAAGGCACTTAAATATTTGATCTTGCCCGTTCACCCTCTGAATGGCACACATACACAATCCATGTCTAAATTGTCTCAAGGCTTCAAAACCCTTCTTTAACCTGTCTCCTCCCCTTCATCTACACTGATTGAAGTGGATTTAACAAGTGATCAATAAGGGATCATAGCTTTCACCTGGATTCACCTGGTCAGTCTATGTCATGGAAAGAGCAGGTGTCCATGTTTTGTACACTTAGTGTATGTTAACAATATGACCACCTTACTTTAAATGAATGGGCTTAACATGCTGTATTAAAATAATTCTGTACATAATAATTAGCACATAATGTATCTCATTTGCATAAAGTAGTATAAAAAGTTCCATCCTAATTTCATAAATTGTTTCAAATTGTTACAATCTCATTTTTGCATAAAGCATGAATATTTGTTAATAATATGACCACTCTACCTTAAATAATTGATCTTAAGTTACAGTAATTATGTGTTCTGTATTGTGCCATTTGCATATTACGTGCCACATTTGCCTAATATTGAATTCTAATTTCATAAAAAAATTTCATACACTCTTTGTCCTACATCAGCCCTGAAAATGCAATAGCAATATGACCACCCTATCTTGAGATATTGGACAAAACGTGTTGAATTTAAGAATCCTGAAAGGTGATTTCATGCATGTAGTGATCGTGTCATGTAGTAACCGCAGTCTGCAGATATAAGTTATTGGACCAGAAAGGAAGGAATAGAACATTTGGAAGCAAGCTAGCATGGGCCCTTGGATCCTCAAAAAGTTATACAGCTGCACCATCGAGAGCATCTTGACTGGCTGCATCACTGCTTGGTATGGCAAATGCACCGCCCTTGACCGCAAAGCGCTACAGAGGGTGGTGCGGACAGCCCAGTACATCACTGGGGCCGAGCTCCCTGCCATCCAGGACATCTATATCAGGCAGTGTCAGAGGAAGGCCCGAAGAATTGCCAAAGACTCTAGCCACCCAAGCCATCGACTGTTCACTCTGCTACTGTTTAGCAAACAGTAAAAACACGCACACTCACACACACACACACACGTGTACACTCATCATTTGATGTTGCTACTCTGTTCTTTATTTTACTCTTATTATCTACCCTGATGCCTAGTCACTTTACCCTGCCTTCATGTATATACAGTATCTACCTCAAATACCTCATACCTCTGCACATTGATCTGGTACTGGTACTCCCTTTATATAGCTCCATTCATGTGTATTTTATTTTATTCCTCTACTTGTGTTACGCAAGCATTTACACGTTTAGACAAACAAACAAGCAATCAATACTACCGGTAGGAACAAACAATCGATACTACCGGCGGACAGCCAGTAGGCAGGTTTCCATTGACCCAGGTTTATTAGAATAATGGAAACAGCAGCAAGACAGTTCTCTTTGGTTTTCACTAGATAGCACAGACACAAAGTCAACTTAATTTAAGGTTAAGCATAAGGTTGGCAGTGTGGTTAAGGTTAGGTTTAAAATCAGATTTTATGAAGTGTAGAAATGGGCAGGGTTTAGCTATAATTATGTCTTTGTGGCTGGGGTAACCAGTGACAACCGTTCTCTTCCAGTCTGTTAATTTTGAATGTGGTGTTGTTGAAATCTTGATTCCAGGAACTGGAAGTGTGAAAAACATATTTGAGGGAGAACTTGGTGTGGTGGACATTCATCCATTTAACAAGAGATGCATCCTGTATGTCTTTGAAACTGACAATGTGGTTGGTAACAACTACAAAAGAAACCTTGTTTGGTTTAGAAATATAAGTCTTCTTTTGGTGTTTGGCACTACACCATTAAACCAATACGACTTGATTATGCTGCTACAGGTAACTGCCAAAATAAAGGAAACACTTGAGTTAATGATGGATACAAAGTACACTACTGGTCAAAAGTTTTAGAACACCTACTCATTCAAGGGTTTTTCTTTATTTTTGCTATTTTCTACATTGTAGAATAATAGTGAAGACATCAAAACTATGAAAAACACATATGGAATCATGTAGTAACCAAAAAAGTGTTAAACAAATCAAAATATATTTTATATTTGAGATTCTTCAAATAGCCACCCTTTGCCATGCTGACAGCTTTGCACACTCTTGGCATTCTCTCATTCTTGCTTTTCCAACAGTCTTGAAGGAGTTCCCACATATGCTGAGCACTTGTTGGCTGCTTTTCCTTCACTCTGCGGTCTGACTCATCCCAAACCATCTCAATTTGGTTGAGGTTGGGTGATTGTGGAGGCCAGGTCATCTGATGCAGTCCCCTGTAGCTCAGTTGGTAGAGCATGGCGCTTGCAACGCCAGGGTTGTGGGTTTGTTTCCCACGGGGGGCCAGTATGAAAATGTATGCACTCACTAACTGTAAGTCGCTCTGGATAAGAGCATCTGCTAAATGACTAAAATGTAAAATGTAAATGTGATGCAGCACTCCATCACTCTCCTTCTTGGTAAAATAGCCCTTACACAGCCTGGAGGTGTGTTGGGTCATTGTCCTGTTGAAAAACAAATGATAGTCCCACTATGTCCAAACCAGATGGAATGGCGTTTCGCTGCAGAATGCTGTGGTAGCCATGCTGGTTAAGTGTGCCTTGAATTCTAAATAAATCACAGACAGTGTCACCAGCAAAGCACCCCCACAACATAACACCTCCTCCTCCATGCTTTATGGTGGGAAATATACATGCGGAGATCATCCGTTCACCCACACCGCGTCTCACAAAGACACGGCGGTTGGAACCAGAAATCTCCAATTTGGACTCCAGACCAAAGGACACATTTCCACCGGTCTAATGTCCCTTGCTCGTGTTTCTTGGCCCAAGCAAGTCTCTTCATATTATTGGTGTCCTTAAGTAGTGGTTTCTTTACAGCAATTCGACCATGAAGGCCTGATTCACAGTCTCCTCTGAACAGTTGATGTTGAGATGTGTCTGTTACTTGAACTCTGTGAAGCATTTATTTGGGCTGCAATTTCTGAGGCTGGTAACTCTAATGAACTTATCCTCTGCAGCAGAGGTAACTCTGGGTTTTCCTTTCCTGTGGCGGTCCTCATGAGAGCCAGTTTCATCATAGCGCTTGATGGTTTTTGCGACTGCACTTGAAGAAACTTTCAAAGTTCTTGAAATGTTCCGTATTGACTGACCTTCATGTTTTTAAGTAATGGTGGACTGTCGTTTCTCTTTGCTTATTTGAGCTGTTCTTGCCATAATATGGACTTGGTCTTTTACCAAATAGGGCTATCTTACAGTGAGGGGAAAAGGTATTTGATCCCCTGCTGATTTTGTACGTTTGCCCACTGACAAAGACATGATCAGTCTATAATTTTAATGGTAGGTTTATTTGAACAGTGAGAGACAGAATAACAAACAAAAAATCCAGAAAAATGCATGTCAAAAATGTTATGAATTGATTTGCATTTTAATGAGGGAAATAAGTATTTGACCCCTCTGCAAAACATGACTTAGTACTTGGTGGCAAAACCCTTGTTGGCAATCACAGAGGTCAGACGTTTCTTGTAGTTTGCCACCAGGTTTGTACACATCTCAGGAGGGATTTTGTTCCACTCCTCTTTACAAATCTTCTACAAGTCATTAAGGTTTCGAGGCTGACGTTTGGCAACTCAAACCTTCAGCTCCCTCCACAGATTTTCGATGGGATTAAGGTCTGGAGACTGGCTAGGCCACTCCAGGACCTTAATATGCTTCTTCTTGAGCCACTCCTTTGTTGCCTTGGCCGTGTGTTTTGGGTCATTGTCATGCTGTAATACCCATCCACGACCCATTTTCAATGCCCTGGCTGAGGGAAGGAGGTTCTCACCCAAGATTTGACGGTACATGGCCCCGTCCATCGTCCCTTTGATGCGGTGAAGTTGTCCTGTCCCCTTAGCAGAAAAACACACCGAAAGCATAATGTTTCCACCTCCATGTTTGACGTTGGGGATGGTGTTCTTGGGGTCATAGGCAGCATTCCTCCTCCTCCAAACACGGCGAGTTGAGTTGATGTCAAAGAGCTCGATTTTGGTCTCATCTGACGACAACACTTTCATCCAGTTCTCCTTTGAATCATTCAGATGTTCATTGGCAAACTTCAGACGGGCCTGTATATGTGCTTTCTTGAGCAGGGGGACCTTGCGGGCGCTGCAGGATTTCAGTCCTTCACGGCGTAGTGTGTTACCAATTGTTTTCTTGGTGACTATGGTCCCAGCTGCCTTGAGATCATTGACAAGATCCTCCTGTGTAGTTCTGGGCTGATTCCTCACCGTTCTCATGATCATTGCAACTCCACGAGGTGAGATCTTGCATGGAGCCCCAGGCCGAGGGAGATTGACAGTTATTTTGTGTTTCTTCCATTTGCGAATAATCGCACCAACTGTTGTCACCTTCTCATCAAGCTGCTTGGCGATGGTCTTGTAGCCCATTCCAGCCTTGTGTAGGTCTACAATCTTGTCCCTGACATCCTTGGAGAGCTCTTTGGTCTTGGCCATGGTGGAGAGTTTGGAAATCTGATTGATTGATTGCTTCTGCGGACAGGTGTCTTTTATACAGGTAACAAGCTGAGATTAGGAGCACTCCCTTTAAGAGTGTGCTCCTAATCTCAGCTCGTTACCTGTATAAAAGACACCTGGGAGCCAGAAATCTTTCTGATTGAGAGGGGGTCAAATACTTATTTCCCTCATTAAAATGCAAATCAATTTATAACATTTTTGACATGCGTTTTTCTGGATTTTGTTGTTGTTATTCTGTCTCTCACTGTTCAAATAAACCTACCATTAAAATTATAGACTGATCATTTCTTTGTCAGTGGGCAAACGTACAAAATCAGCAGGGGATCAAATACTTTTTTCCCTCACTGTATGTATCCCCCCTACCTTGTCACAACACAACTGATTGGCTCAAACTCATTAAGAAGGAAAGAAATTCCACAAATTAACTTTTAAGAAGGCACACCTGTTAATTGAAATGCATTCCAGGAGACTACCTCATGAAGCTGGTTGAGAGAATGCCAAGAGTGTTCAAAGCTGTCATCAAGGCAAAGGGTGGCTATTTGAAGAATCTCAAATATAAAATATATCTTGATTTGTTTAACACGTTTTTGGTTACTACATGATTCCATATGTGTTATTTCATTGTTTTGATGTCTTCACTATTATTCTACAATTTAGAAAATAGTAAAAATAAAGAAAAACCCTTGAATGAGTAGGTGTTCTAAAACGTTTGACCGGTAGTGTACATCTTCTGTTTCTCCATTGGTGATGTTTTAATCTTATCTGTGTAAGGCCAACAGCAGCCTTCAGGACATCGTGGTGGTGGAGAACACCCGGCTCAGTGAACAGTACTTTCCAGCCATGCAGAAGTTTGTGGTGTGTAAGCTCGGTCTCAAACTGCTACCTGCTGCCAGCCAGCTGGAAGCCTCCCAGCTACTCACACGGATAGTAAGTTAGACTTTCACACACAAGAGAAAATGAGTGAAGCGTTTCGTCTAGCATTGTCAATTTGCAAAGATGATCCTGATTCCACAAATATGTGTTAAACTCAATCTGACATACAGTCAGATCAACCTCAATAGTCTAACTGTGCATGCCGATTGACTGATGAATTTTGTCGTCTCCTCTGCAGGTTCACGGAGCGAGTAAAGACAACCTGTTCCGCAGGAGGAGTGTGTCTCGGCTGCTGGACCCCCTGGTCATGTCCCTGGTTCAGCAGATCCCTGGGGTAGGGAAGGTCAAAGCCATGGCCCTGCTCCAGCACTACTCCATTATCCACCAGCTGTGCAACGCAGGGACCCATGAACTGGAGCCCATCGTGGGCCACGCCTTGGCTCAGCACATACGCAACTTCTTCCACAACCCATTAGTCTGACTCTGACAGCACGTCACAGCTCATTGACAAATCCTTACTTGTATATGTTCAAGTGTGTAAGGAGGGGGCACAAGTGAACCTGACACAATGCTGTAAAGCTAAAGACTCCCTAGTTGGAAATGTAATGTAATGTATATTTTTTTCACATCTCTATGGAATGTAACACGCCTTGTTTATACAAACAGAATGTTTTGGTGTGTGTGTGACTGACCACTAGATGGAGTAAGATGCCTTTTCCTCATCCAGAACAATTCATAAACTTCCATTGGAATAATACAACCTTAACCAAGGACTGTTTTACTTGAACTGATAGTGGGTGCCAATGGAAATACTATATGACAACCCTTTTCCAATCCATGTCAGAGTTTACAGGGGAACCTTCTTGGAGCTCAAACAGAAACCACAGATCCCCTGGCTTAGTTCAATCCAATCCATTTGCACTAAAGCATTTTGTCTCAATGAAGGAGCACTTTCTTGGCCAGGCTATGGAAGGCCTTCTTTCTCAATCCACAGTCAGGACTGCCTTTTATACCAGTCTGACCATGTGACCTGGGCTGGCTGTATGGAGGTTTCCTTGGCCAGTGACTTCCCTCTGTGACACTCCATTCCATCCCAATCCAACAGGAAATAACATTTACATGCTGGCCAAAGCACGAATTGACTGAATTAATTAACTGCTACCTCAGCTCATATCCATTCTTAAAAACTGGAACCTACATTTTTAAAAACAGTTAAACAGCAGTCAGTTAAAGAAGACCTCTCTCTTTCTTTCTCTCACTCCTTCCCTCTGTCCACATTTCCTCAGTTACCCAGTGTGGCTCCTGTGATGTATTGGTTTTCTGCTCGGCTTCCTCCTTTAAGCGTCGCAGCAAACTGCTGGCAGTGTTCATCTTTCCTCCCTCCCTGCACACAAAGCAGCTGGCCGTTTTATTGGCCTTCGAACAGGATCAGCTGAATCCAGGCCATTTATTGTGCCAGTCTGTGGTGTTAGTGAGAGAGGCGGAGAAAAGACCCGGTACGACCGCTCAACTTGACTTCCTAAATTCCACTAGGGTCCTTCAGAGACCCTCTTTGGGATGCATGCGCTGTTGGAGCAGAGGAGCAAGTCCGCCTCTCTTTGGGTTTCTTCTTCCGAACAGTTCAAATGTGGTCTCTCTCACCAGGAGGCTGTTCAGAGTTGCATCAATATAACATGACTGGGGCTAATTTTAGATACAAGAGGAAACAGAGGGGCAGAGTTGTGTGAATGGGAGTGTATCCGACATGAAATGTACACTGAGAAAATATTTGCCAAAATATGTTAAGTTCACAAGTAAATTATTTACAAGCAGGTACATGATATGAAATTGTTTTTTGTTTTTTTGTTTTGTTTTGGGGAAATCCCTGTCATCCACATGTTTTGTAATCTATTTACACTATAATTTTTCCACAATTGAAAATAGTAATTTTGTTGAAATTGATTAGGCTACTTTTCTTTGGAGTCAGTTTTTTTATTTTATTTTATTTAACCTGTCACGACTTCCGCCGAGGCTGCCTCCCCTCCTTGTTCGGGTAGGTTTCGGCGTTCGGCGTCACCGGCTTACTAACTACTGCCAATCCATTTATCATCACTCCATCTTCAATCACACACACCTGGTCCTTATTCCCTCATTAGTCATTGTATAAGTGTTCCCTCTGCTTCCTTGTCTGTGTGGGTGATTGTTTGTTGTGTAGGTTAGTGAAGCTCGGTGGAGCGCGTGTATTTTGTATCGACGGGAGTTTTCCCGTGTGCCTTGTATTTTCCAGTGCGCCTGTTTTGTGCCCTGAAGTGTGTTTGACGCATTTCTGCGCAAACCTGGATTTTGCGGATTAAAGCCTGTTATTCTGTGATTTACTCTCCTGCGCCTGACTCCTTCAACACCACCTTGTCGATTCAGACGCAGCTGGGAACTTTATGGACAGGGCATTCGCACACCGTATAGGCATTCCATTGATACCCCTATCCATTCCACACCCCATCAGAGCACTTGATAGTCAACCATTAGGGTCCGGGTTGGTTAAAGAAGTTACTGCACCAGGTTACTTTTTCCATTATTGAGTCTCCTGCTTTCCCTGTGGTATTAGGTATCCCTTGGCTAGCACTCCACAACCCCACCTTCTCATGGCCGCAGAGGGTTTACACAGGGTGGTCACAGGTTGGTGCAACCACGGTGGAAAGTCCAGACAGTACCTCCACCGTGCGCATTCCCCCTGAATACCTCGATCTGGCGCAAGCGTTCTCTAAAACGCAGGCGACTAAGTTACCACCTCATCGGGCGGGGGATTGTGCGATAAACCTCCGGGTAGAGTTTACATACACTTACATTCAGGGAAAAAAGTATTTGATCCCCTGCTGATTTTGTATGTTTGCCCACTGACAAAGAAATGATCAGTCTATAATTTTTATGGTAGGTTTATTTGAACAGTGAGAGACAGAATAACAACAACAAAAAATCCAGAAAAACGCATGTCAAAAATGTTATAAATTGATTTGCATTTTAATGAGGGAAATAAGTATTTGACCCCTCTGCAAAACATGACTTAGTACTTGGTGGCAAAACCCTTGTTGGATATCACAGAGGTCAGACGATTCTTGTAGTTGGCCACCAGGTTTGCACACATCTCAGGAGGGATTTTGACCCACTCCTCTTTGCAGATCTACTCCACATCATTAAGGTTTCGAGGCTGACGTTTGGCAACTCGAACCTTCAGCTCCCTCCACAGATTTTCTATGGGATTAAGGTCTGGAGACTGGCTAGGCCACTCCAGGACCTTAATGTGCTTCTTTAGTTCTGGGCTGATTCCTCACCGTTCTCATGATCATTGCAACTCCACGAGGTGAGATCTTGCATGGAGCCCCAGGCCGAGGGAGATTGACAGGTCTTTTGTGTTTCTTCCATTTGCGAATAATCACACCAACTGTTGTCACCTTCTCACCAAGCTGCTTGGCGATGGTCTTGTAGCCCATTCCAGCCTTGTGTAGGTCTAAAATCTTGTCCCTGACATCCTTGGAGAGCTCTTTGTTCTTGGCCATGGTGGAGAGTTTGGAATCTGATTGATTGCTTCTGTGGACAGGTGTCTTTTATACAGGTAACAAACTGAGATTAGGAGCACTCCCTTTAAGAGTGTGCTCCTAATCTCAGCTCGTTACCTGTATAAAAGACACCTGGGAGCCAGAAATCTTTCTGATTGAGAGGGGGTCAAATACTTATTTCCCTCATTAAAATGAAAAAATCAATTTATAACATTTTTGACATGCGTTTTTCTGGATTTTTGTTGTTGTTATTCTGTCTCTCACTGTTCAAATAAACCTACCATTAAAATTATAGACTGATCATGTCTTTGTCAATGGGCAAACGTACAAAATCAGCAGGGGATCAAATACTTTTTCCCCTCACTGTATATACCCCCTGTCACAGGCTGAAACGGTGACTATGGAAACATATGTCACTGAGTCCCTGCGCCAGGGGTATATACGTCCCTCCACTTCACCCGCCTCCTCAAGTTTCTTCTTTGAGAAGAAGAAGGACGGAGGTCTGCGCCCGTGCATTGATTATCGACTACTGAACAGGGAGATAATAAGATTTAGTTATCCTCTCCCTTTCATTCTTTCAGTGATTAAATCAATGCATGGGGCGTGCTTCTTCACCAAATTAGATCTCAGGAGTGCGTACAACCTGGTGCGTATCCGAGAGGGAGATAAGTGGAAGACAGCATTCAGCACAACCACGGGGCATTATGAATACCTGGTGATGCCCTATGGTTTGATGAATGCTCCCTCAGTTTTCCAGTCCTTTGTGAACGAGGTGTTTCGGGACATGCTTGGTCGCGGTGTAGTGGTCTACATCGATGACATCCTGGTGTATTCCGCTACGCACGCCGAGCATGTGTCCCTGGTACGCAAGGTGCTGGCCCGACTGTTGGAAAATGACCTTTATGCTAAGGTAGAGAAGTGTATGTTTTTCCAGCAGTCCGTCTCCTTCCTTGGATACCGCATTTCCACCTCAGGTGTGGAGATGGAGGGAGATCGCATTTCAGCCGTGCGTAATTGACCAACTCCAACCACGGTTAAGGAGGTGCAGCGCTTCCTTGGCTTTGCCAACTACTATCTGAGGTTTATCCGGGGCTTTGGCAAGGTCGCAGCTCCCATTACCTCCCTGTTGAAGGGTGGGCCGTCCCGGCTCCGCTGGTCTGCTGAGGCTGACCTGGCCTTCAGCAAACTGTGGGGTCTGTTCACCTCAGCCCCAGTACTGGCCCACCCCAATTCATCACTACCGTTTGTAGTGGAGGTGGATGCGTCCGAGGTTGGGATAGGAGCTGTCCTGTCTCAATGCTCGGGCACGCCACCCAAGCTCCGCCCCTGTGCATTCTTCTCGAAGAAGCTCAGCCCGGCAGAGCAGAACTACAGCGTTGGTGATCGTGAGCTGTTGGCTGTTGTCCGAGCCTTGACCATGTGGAGGCATTGGCTTGAGGGGGCAAAACACCCTTTCCTCGTCTGGACGGACCACCGTAACCTGGAGTCCATCCGGGCAGCGAGGAGGCTGAATCCTCGCCAGGCCAGGTGGGCCCTATTTTTCACCCGGTTTGATTTCACTCTATCATACATCCCGGGTACGAAGAACGTGAAGGCAGACGCACTGTCCCGGCTGTATGACACAGAGGAGAGGCCCAGCGACAACACCCCCATACTGCCGGCCTCCTGCATTGTGGCGCCAGTAGTATGGGCGATGGACGCGGATATAGAGCAGGCATTACGCACGGATCCCTCTCCACCTCAGTGTCCAGATGGGCTACAGTACGTGCCTGCTCTTATCCGTGATCGTCTGATCTACTGGGCACACACGTCACCCAGGTATCGGTCGTACAGTGCGCTGTCTGACTGGAAAATACTGGTGGCCTACCTTGGCTATGGACGTGAGGGTGTATGTCTCCTCCTGCTCAGTGTGCGCCCAGAGTAAGGCACCTAGGCACCTCCCAGCTGGTAAGTTACAACCTTTACCAGTTCCACAACGACCATGGTCTCACCTAAGTGTTGATTTTCTAACTGATCTTCCCCTATCTTCCCTGCTGGAAGCTGAGCCCGCGGTTTGTGGGGCCGTTCAAAGTCCTGAGGAGAGTCAACGTGGTCACTTATAAGTTATTACTTCCCCCTGATTACCGTATTAACCCCTCGTTTCATGTGTCTCTCCTCAGGCCGGTGGTAGCTGGTCCACTCCAGGAGTCTGAGGTGCGGGAGGTCCCTCCACCTCCTCTGGACATTGAGGGGGCCCCGGCGTACTCTGTCCGTTCCATCCTGGATTCGAGGCGTCGGGTTGGGGGCCTTCAGTACCTCGTGGAGTGGGAGGGGTACGGTCCGGAGGAACGGTGCTAGGTCCCGGTGAGGGATATCCTCGATCCCTCCATGTTACGGGATTTCCACCGTCGCCATCCGGCTCGCCCTGCTCCGCATCCTCCTGGCCGTCCCCGAGGCCGGGGCGCTGCTGGAGCCGCGCGTCAAGTGGAGGGGGGGGGGGGGGTACTGTCACGACTTCCGCCGAGGCTGCCTCCCCTCCTATTTCGGGCAGGTTTCGGCGTTCGGCGTCACCGGCTTACTAACTACTGCCGATCCATTTATCATCACTCCATTTGTCTTCAATCACACACACCTGGTCCTTATTCCCTCATTAGTCATTGTATAAGTGTTCCCTCTGCTTCCTTGTCTATGTGGGTGATTGTTTGTTGTGGAGGTTAGTGAAGCTCGGTGGAGCTTGTGTATTTTGTATCGACAGCAGTTTTCCTGTGTGCCTTGTATTTTCCAGTGTGCCTGTTTTGTGCCCTGGAGTGTGTTTGACGAATTTCTGCGTAAAACCTGTATTTTGCAGATTAAAGCCTGTTATTCTGTGATTACTCTCCTGCGCCTGACTCCTTCAACACCACCTCGTCACATCACCTTTATTTAACCAGGTAAGCCAGTTGAGAACAAGTTCACATTTACAATTACGACCTGGCCAAGATAAAGCAAAGCAGTGCGATAAAGACAACAACAACACAGAGTTACATATGGGGTAAAACAAAACATAAAGTCAAAAATACAACAGAAAATATATATACAGTGTGTGCGAATGTAGTAAGTTATGGAGGTAAGGCAATAAATAGGCCATAGTGCAAAATAATTACAATTTAGTATTAACACTGGAGTGATAGATGTGCAAATAGAAATACTAGGGTGCAAATGAGCAAAATAAATAACAATATGGGGATGAGGTAGTTGGGTGGGCTAATTACAGATGGGCTGTGTACAGCTGCAGTGATCGGTAAGCTGCTCTGACAACTGATGCTTAAAGTTAGTGAGGGAGATAAGAGTCTCCAGCTTCAGAGATTTTTGCAGTTCGTTCCAGTCATTAGCAGCAGAGAACTGGAAGGAATGGCGGCCAAAGGAGGTGTTGGCTTTGGGGATGACCAGTGAGATATACCTGCTGGAGCGCATACTATGGGTGGGTGTTGCTATGGTGACCAATGAGCTAAGATAAGGCAGAGATTTGCCTAGCAGTGATTAAAGATGACCTGGAGCCAGTGGGTTTGGCAACGAATATGTAGTGAGATCAATTGTCCCATGTATTGTAGTAGATATAGGCCTACAGTACATGGTGTGCATGCTTGATAAATGTAGCTTTGATGGATCGAAGATAGTTCAATTAATCCTTGTATTTGCTCTTTCACCCCCTTTGAAATATTGATTAGCTGGTCAATAATTTAGTATATTCCATAATGGAGTTCACTTATGTTTACTGTGGTCACTATTTTATAAATGTATTTAACATGTTTTTGTTTTTATTTGACAGTCTGGTTACAATTCACAAGATGAAATACCTTAAAATTCTCTATCAATAATATTTGAGAAGATTAAGTGTACTCTGAAATGGGGGCCTGAACACTGAGCAGTCGAGATTATGCAGACACAGTTGTGTTCAAGATGGGGGTTTACTCAAGTAGGAGGGTGCACCAAACTCTGATGCACGCAAGCCTCAGCTATTACCGTCGGTATGGAAACAGAACATTTGGTAAAAAGATGGACTTCGAAGTTCGATGGGATCTCCGAGTGAGGTTTAGTGAAAAAGTCCAGCGACGCTCAAGTAGTTGATGGCACGAGAGTGGGGTAGTTAGCATTCTACGCTGGACAGCGACGGATTGTTGCGCATGCGCACCCTATTCAGTGTGCATCAATACGGTGTGTGAGTTCAAGTGAGGAATTCGAGAAAGCCTTTGATATGGTCGCAGACATGGATGGAGAAAAGCGGAAAATAAGTATCTGCTCACGGCAAGAGCCGTCAGCTGCACTGAAGATCTTGAAAGATGGGAACAACAAACGTGACGAAATCCCTGATAGAGTGACTCTGAAAAAAGAAATAGGACTTTTAAGCGCCTGTACAATAATCATAGGTAAGGTTGGTAAAAGTGTATTGCATTTTAGAATCTATTACATGGGGGTGTTTGGTCATTGCTTTATTTAATAAAATAACTTTGATGTAAGTTTGCCATTTACAGACAATTTGCCCTTGCTGAATTGAAAATTAGTTTTCCAATTATGGATTATGTGTCATTAAAGTCAGTATCCTATATTTGTAATGGTTAGAAATAGGCCCATCTTCTCACCTGTCATGATAAGAAGATGGTCCTATATGACGCGAGTGCGACTACATGAGAAATAGATGTGCATTAAATGTCTACCTCAATGCTTACGTAGCCAAAATATATGAATTAGTAGGACATTGGTTGTCAAGCAGAAGAAAATTGTCTGCTGAAGCAGAGGAAATGGCAGGGGCCGCTTTAATAAATCTAATTCACTTGTTGAAGGGTGCAAATGAAGATATAGGCCCAAGTTACACCTACAGTAGGGTAAATGCCACTATACAGTCTGGAAGATGCATGGTTTTGATAGTCAGGGGCCCCCAACCTGCTGATGAAAATCCTGAAGCTTTCAATATGCGCTGTTGCATTTATTACATATGTTCTGACTTGACTGTTAAAAAGAGTTTCAGAGTTACTGTAAAATGATTATTAATAATAATAGGCCTATGCTCTTTATGCCATTTCTACTGACATTGATGTTTTTCAATTACATTTACTCTCCGACCTACTCTTGTGGCTTTTGGTTAGTTACATTAGTGCAGTTTTTGATCAAGATCAGTCCTGAATTAAGACCTCAAACAGGAGCAAAAAGTGAAAAATCCCTTTGAATCAGTCTCCTGTCTCCTTGTGTGTGTGGAAGAGAGACTGAGTACAGACTATCAACTGTGATTGAGCAATTGAAGTTGAGCAATCCAGACCAGGAAGTCCATGCTAGCATCCACCCTGTTGTTTCAAAGTTATACATCTTACTCCCCAACCTGGACTCAGGGGTAGACGTAACATAGTAAATGTAAAACCGACCCATTTCAATTAGTATGATATGTTAAGTTTGGTATGTTATGTATTAATTTGTGGATGTCCATTACGGAGTGAACGTTATTTATAATAAGGGTTACATGGAGAAAATCGGACCTCTCTGAAATGAAAATGGACGGCCCTCCCTTCAGCAAAACATATTTAACCTAAATCCTGAACCCTTGAAAAAAAAACTAGTGACCCTCCCCTATCCCCAAAATAATAATTAAAACAAAGTGGATAGCAGAGAACATGTTTACCCTCACTTCTTGGACAGACCAGAGCCTTAGATATGGATTTTTAGAAACTGTTCTTTGTCCTGTAAGCATTACATAGCAACGCAATAATTTTGATTCACAGACCACCGTGGACAAGAGTAGGGGTAGAGAGATCTCCTTTATAGTAAAAGGATTGCATGAATCTGTCGTCGTATGTGCAGGTCAGAGAAAAAATTGCCTTTTATAAAAATGTCATGCAATTCTACGTAATTTTACATATTAGCAGAATATTTTTTAATACCACACAAATTATTGAAATTACAGGCAAAAAATGGACAGAGAGATAGGCCTATGTGTTCATCTTATCATATTTCTCCAAGGCCAAATCAGTGTGTCTTGTTTGCAACTAAACTGTCCCTGTTTGCAAATAACTACATCTGAGACGTCATTAGGAATCTGAGCATGGTACTTTCAAAAGTTAGGCCGACCTTTCCACCCCAGACAGAGTAGCCCTACCAATGCAGAAAAATGTAAGCTTTAACTGCTGACTACTCTTCTTCTGTGGCTTAACCCAATGAGAGAGAAGGTCACAAGTGTTTCCCAAAAAGCTGTCTGGGTGTAAACATGTTCTATTGTACAGAAAGTGGCTAGCTTATTCAATTGATATTGACAGAATTAGATTACAGTGCATTCGGAAAGTATTCAGACCTCTTGACTTTTTCCACATTTTGTTACGTTACAGCTTTATTCTAAACTGGATTAAATTGTTTTTTTTCCCCTCATCAATCTACACACAATACCCCATAATGACGAAGCAAAAACAGGTTTTTAGATTTTTTTGCAAATTAATTCATAATAAAAAACGGAAATATGACATTTACATAAGTATTCAGACCCTTTACTCAGTACTTTGTTGAAGCACCTTTGCGATTACAGCCTAGAGTCTTCTTGGGTATGATGCTACAAGCTTGGAACACCTGTATTTGGGGAGTTTCTCCCATTAATCTTTGCAGATCCTCTCAAGCTCTGTCAGGTTGAATGGGGAGCGTCACTGAACAGCTATTTTCAGGTCTCTCCAGAGATGTTCGATCGGGTTCAAGTTCGGGCTCTACCTGGGCCACTCAAGGACATTCAGACTTGTTCTGAAGCCACTCCTGCGTTGTCTTGGTTGTGTGCTTAGGGTTGTTGTCCTGTTGGAAGGTGAACCTTCGCCCCAGTCTGAGGTCCTGAGCACTCTGGAGCAGGTTTTTATCAAGGATCTCTCTGTACTTTGCTCCGTTCATCTCTCCCACGATCCTGACTAGTCTCCCAGAACCTGCCGCTGAAAAACATCCCCACAGCAGGATGCTGCTACCACCATGCTTCACCGTAGGGATGGTCACAGGTTTCCTCCAGGCGTGACGCTTGGCATTCAAGCAAAATAGTTCAATCTTGATTTCATCATACCAGAGAATCTTGTTTCTCATGGTCTGAGTCCTTTAGGTGACTTTTGGCAAACTCCAAGTGAGCTGTCATGTGCCTTTTACTGAGGATTGGCTTCCGTCTGGCCACTCTACCATAAAGGCCTGATTGGTGGAGTGCTGCAGAGATGGTTGTCCTTCTGGAAGGTTCCCCCATCTCCACAGAGGAACTCTGGAGCTTTATCAGAGTGACCATCGGGTTCTTGGTCACCTCCCTGACCAAGGCCCTTCTCCCCCGATTGCTCAGTTTGGCCGGGCAGCCAGCTCTAGGAAGAGTCTTGGTGGTTCCAAACTTCTTCCATTTAACAATGATGGAGGCCACTGTGTTCTTGGGGACCTTCAATGCTGCAGAAATATTTTGATATCCTTTCCCGGATCTGTGCCTCGACACAATCCTGTCTCGGAGCTCTACAGACAATTCCTTCGACCTCATGGCTTGGTTTTTGCTCAGACATGCACTGTCAACTGTGGGACCTTATATAGACAGTTGTGTGCCTTTCCAAATCATGTCCAATCAATTAAATTTACCACAGGTGGACGCCAATCAAGTTGTAAAAACATCTCAAGGATGATCAATGGAAACAGGATGCACCTGAGCTCAATTTCGAGTCTCATAGCAAAGGGTCTGAATACTTATGTAAATAAGGTATTTCTGTTTTTTATTTTTAATACATTTGCTAACATTTCTTAAACCCTGTTTTTGCTTTGTCATTATGGGGTATTGTGTGTAGATTGATGAGGAAAAACATTAATTTAATCAATTTTAGAATAAGGCTGTAACGTAACAAAATGTGGAAAAACGGGTCTGAATACTTTCCTAATGCACTGTATTTCCCAAGCAAAGTTATTGTTTTGTCTCCTCGGCTATAGAAGGTTGTAGCTCAGCCTATGAATGTCAAACAAACTGAACAATGATATCCCCATATTCATCGAAGTCACGTCTTTCCTGGGTATTTTACAGCTTGTGTCTAGCATAAAGCATCATGGACCAAAGCGCTGTTATGTCACTTTATATAATCGGATCTGTTTTTATTTTCTTCAAAAGCTAACAAGGGCTAGGCCTATACTTTTTGCCATTTTCTTTAATAAAATGTAACCCTATTGCTGCGTTTAGATGGCAGGAGGTAGACGGCAAACCGGATGTCATTGTTTTTGATGAGAGTAGGTCAGTAAATGCCGTTGAGTCTGGCGGTGAATGCCTTCAGCCGCCACGGTAGATGGGACAAATATTTCAACTTTTGCCGTTTTCAGTAGCGTTGTTTTCTACCAGATGTTGATTTGCACTGTTTGTGTACTGAAATCCCCATAGCAACGCATACGGTCGTGCAGGCTTGCTTTTGCAGTCACCATATTTCTTTGTCTTGTCCCGCTATGTCCCGTTTTTTGCGTCCCTCGTCTAAATGCAGCATATGGTATACCCCCTCAATTCGAGTCTTGGTTTTAACTTAGCAGCCCTTCACTAACACGGAAGTAGGCTATTTAAAGAGTGCATGGTGAGTGGATGAATTGACCGACAAATCTATGGATATAGCAACCTATAGCCTAATTTCGTCTGTCAAACAGGTAGGCCTACCTCTTATTTCGTAAAAAGGAAGAAATAGGCTCCAACACAAAGCCCTATTGTTGTTAGTAAAGTCTAATTAAAATAAAGACGGTTTAAATTAATTATGCCTACTCGAATTTGCCTACTTTCAGCACCATGAGCTCTCCATTTCCGACTGATTGTGCCGCGGCTGCTGCTTCAAGTTTCAGCACCACAATATAAGTTACTTGAATCTTCCTTATTGTGAGGTCAATATGTTATTTGTCACATGCGAAGAATACAGCAGGTGTAGACCTTACCGTGAAATGCTTACTAACAAGCCCTTAACCAACAATGCAGAGTTTTAAAAACAGTAAGTACGAATATATTAATATATACAGTGGGGAGAAAAGTATTTGATACACTGCCGATTTTGCAGGTTTTCCTACTTACAAAATCCAGAAAATCACATTGTATGATTTTAAAGTAATTAATTTGCATTTTATTGCATGACATAAGTATTTGATCACCTACCAACCAGTAAGAATTCCGGCTCTCACAGACCTGTTAGTTTTTCTTTAAGAAGCCCTCCTGTTCTCCACTCATTACCTGTATTAACTGCACCTGTTTGAACTCGTTACCTGTATAAAAGACACCTGTCCACACACTCAATCAAACAGACTCCAACCTCTCCACAATGGCCAAGACCAGAGAGCTGTGTAAGGACATCAGGGATAAAATTGTAGACCTGCACAAGGCTGGGATGGGCTACAGGCAAGCAGCTTGGTGAGAAGGCAACAACTGTTGGCGCAATTATTAGAAAATGGAAGAAGTTCAAGATGACGGTCAATCACCCTCGGTCTGGGGCTCCATGCAAGATCTCACCTCGTGGGGCATCAATGATCATGAGGAAGGTGAGGGATCAGCCCAGAACTACACGGCAGGACCTGGTCAATGACCTGAAGAGAGCTGGGACCACAGTCTCAAAGAAAACCATTAGTAACACACTACGCCGTCATGGATTAAAATCCTGCAGCGCACGCAAGGTCCCCCTGCTCAAGCCAGCGCATGTCCAGGCCCGTCTGAAGTTTGCCAATGACCATCTGGATGATCCAGAGGAGGAATGGGAGAAGGTCATGTGGTCTGATGAGACAAAAATAGAGCTTTTTGGTCTAAACTCCACTCGCCGTGTTTGGAGGAAGAAGAAGGATGAGTACAACCCCAAGAACACCATCCCAACCGTGAAGCATGGAGGTGGAAACATCATTCTTTGGGGATGCTTTTCTGCAAAGGGGACAGGACGACTGCACTGTATTGAGGGGAGGATGGATGGGGCCATGTATTGCGAGATCTTGGCCAACAACCTCCTTCCCTCAGTAAGAGCATTGAAGATGGGTCGTGGCTGGGTCTTCCAGCATGACAACGACCCGAAACACACAGCCAGGGCAACTAAGGAGTGGCTCCGTAAGAAGCATCTCAAGGTCCTGGAGTGGCCTAGCTAGTCTCCAGACCTGAACCCAATAGAAAATCTTTGGAGGGAGCTGAAAGTCTGTATTGCCCAGCGACAGCCCCGAAACCTGAAGGATCTGGAGAAGGTCTGTATGGAGGAGTGGGCCAAAATCCCTGCTGCAGTGTGTGCAAACCTTGTCAAGACCTACAGGAAACGTATGATCTCTGTAATTGCAAACAAAGGTTTCTGTACCAAGTTCTGCTTTTCTGATGTATCAAATACTTATGTCATGCAATAAAATGCAAATTAATTACTTAAAAATCATACAATGTGATTTTCTGGATTTTTGTTTTAGATTCCGTCTCTCACAGTTGAAGTGTACCTATGATAACAATTACAGATCTCTACATGCTTTGTAAGTAGGAAAACCTGCAAAATCTGCAGTGTATCAAAGTATTTAGTCAGCCACCAATTGTGCAAGTTCTCCCAATTAAAAAGAGGAGAGAGGCCTGTAATTTTCATCATAGGTACACGTCAACTATGACAGACAAATTGAGAAAGAAAATCCAGAAAATCACATTGTAGGATTTTTAATGAATTTATTTGCAAATTATGGTGGAAAATAAGTATTTGGTCACCTACAAACAAGCAAGATTTCTGGCTCTCACAGACCTGTAACTTCTTCTTTAAGAGGCTCCTCTGTCCTCCACTCGTTACCTGTATTAATGGCACCTGTTTGAACTTGTTATCAGTATAAAAGACACCTGTCCACAACCTCAAACAGTCACACTCCAAACTCCACTATGGCCAAGACCAAAGAGCTGTCAAAGGACACCAGAAACAAAATTGTAGACCTGCACCAGGCTGGGAAGACTGAATCTGCAATAGGTAAGCAGCTTGGTTTGAAGAAATCAACTGTGGGAGCAATTATTAGGAAATGGAAGACATACAAGACCACTGATAATCTCCTTCGATCTGGGGCTCCACGCAAGATCTCACCCCGTGGGGTCAAAATGATCACAAGAATGGTGAGCAAAAATCCCAGAACCACACGGGGGGACCTAGTGAATGACCTGCAGAGAGCTGGGACCAAAGTAACAAAGCCTACTATCAGTAACACACTACGCCGCCAGGGACTCAAATCCTGCAGTGCCAGACGTGTCCCCCTGCTTAAGCCAGTACATGTCCAGGCCCGTCTGAAGTTTGCTAGAGTGCATTTGGATGATCCAGAAGAGGATTGGGAGAATGTCATATGGTCAGATGAAACCAAAATAGAACTTTTTGGTAAAAACTCAACTCGTCGTGTTTGGAGGACAAAGAATGCTGAGTTGCATCCAAAGAACACCATACCTACTGTGAAGCATGGGGGTGGAAACATCATGCTTTGGGGCTGTTTTTCTGCAAAGGGACCAGGACGACTGATCCGTGTAAAGGAAAGAATGAATGGGGCCATGTATCGTGAGATTTTGAGTGAAAACCTCCTTCCATCAGCAAGGGCATTGAAGATGAAACGTGGCTGGGTCTTTCAGCATGACAATGATCCCAAACACACCGCCCGGGCAACGAAGGAGTGGCTTCGTAAGAAGCATTTCAAGGTCCTGGAGTGGCCTAGCCAGTCTCCAGATCTCAACCCCATAGAAAATCTTTGGAGGGAGTTGAAAGTCTGTGTTGCCCAGCGACAGCCCCAAAACATCACTGCTCTAGAGGAGATCTGCATGGAGGAGTGGGCCAAAATACCAGCAACAGTGTGTGAAAACCTTGTGAAGACTTACAGAAAATGTTTGACCTGTGTCATTGCCAACAAAGGGTATATAACAAAGTATTGAGAAACTTTTGTTATTGACCAAATACTTATTTTCCACCATAATTTGCAAATAAATTCATTAAAAATCCTACAATGTGATTTTCTGGATTGTTTTCTCTCATTTTGTCTGTCATAGTTGATGTGTACCTATGATGAAAATTACAGGCCTCGCTCATCTTTTTAAGTGGGAGAACTTGCACAATTGGTGGCTGACTAAATACTTTTTTCCCCCACTGTATATATATGAAAAATAAAATAAAAAAATAATACAAATACTAAACAAGTAACACAATAAAATAACAATAATAAGGCTATATAGATGGGGTACCAGTACTGAGTCAATGTGTGGGGGTACAGGTTAGTCGAGGTAATATAAACATGTAGGTAGGGGTAAAGTGACTATGCATAGATAACAAACAGCGAGGAGTAGAGGTGTAAAAAAGGGGGTCAATGCAAATAGTCCGGGTAGCCATTTGGTTAACTGTTTAGCAGTCTTATGGATTGGGGGTTGAAGCTGTTCAGGAGCCTTTTGGACCTAGACTTGGCGCTCTGGTATCGCTTACCGTGCAGTAGCATAGAGAACAGTCTAAGATTTGGGTGGATGGAGTCCAATTTATAGGTCCTTCTTCTGACACTGCCTGGTATAGAGGTCCTGGATGGCAGGACGCTTGCCCTAGTGATGTACTGGGCCTTATGCACTACCATCTGTAGCGCCTTGCGGTAATAACTCTGATAAATACATCATGGGCAATAAACATATTGTTTTTAATTAAATCAATTATAGTAGTAGCAAGCTATCAAAGTCGACCATAGGCTATAGGCTAGTCCGCACACAAGATAGTTAATTATTTGGACTAGGCCTAATCAACAACAACAAAAATCGGAAGAAGCCTTTGACTCTCCTCCTGAACTGCCACTGTAGGCCTACACAGCACAGCCATTGGTTAGGCATCACACAAAAACGTTTTTGATAAGCAAGAGCAGAGCGGGCGGGGCTCAAGGTTGGAATATCCATTGCCGTGTGTAATGCAGCCTAGTTTTATTTACACCGTCCCAGCAGCTATCTTAGAAATATAACTTTGCTCCGTGCTTCTCCGAGCATGCACTTTGTAGCCTATAGCCTATAGTCTATGGATAATTTGATTGAGACCACACTAAATAGTCTTTAGGCGCACTTGAAGGCTATTTATGCGCGCCCAGCTGAGAATCAGAGATGAGGCGGCATCGGGCACACATCGATATGTAGCCTAATAAGCCATTAATTGAAATATTGAAATTTCATCCATTACAAATGACATGACCCTCCCCTGGACTAGATAAAAAAAAAGACTAAACCCTCACCTTGACTGAAATTGAAAAAGCATGACCCTCCGGGTACCCATTCTGTTCATTTCAATCCATCCCTTATCCATTTTGTATGAAATGTTACAAATTACAATTTGTATGATATGTTATGAATTGCAATTCGTACAATATGTTACGAATTTGCAAAACATATGAAATGTTACGAATTTCAATCTGTTGTGGCTAACATTGGCTTGGTGGCTAACACTAACGTTAGCTAGGTGGTTAATGTTAACTAAGCTAGGGGTTAAGGTTAGGTTTAAGGTTAGGGGAAGGGTTAGCTTACATGCTAAGTAGTTGCAAAGTAGCTAAAAGTAGTAAGTAGTTGCAAAGTTGCTAATTAGCTAAAATGCTAAAGTTGTCCGAGATGAGATTCGACCATGCAACCTTTGGGTTGCTAGATGTTCGCATTATACACCCGGCCAACCACCCTCCTTTAGTTTTTCCCTTAAGTAACCTTCTGTCTTATGTACATACCAAACGTAGAATATCATACTCATTTTAGTGTCCTGCATTTACTTTCACTATGTTACGTCTATTCTATGAGACCAGGCTTTACTCCCAGTCTTAGCATTTCTGACAGGGTCACAAACCAAAGGGAAAGCCGGTACAGTCTAGAAATAATGAAATAAATGAGTTGAATTTAATTCTCGCAGGCGACTCTTGACTGAGCTCGACAGTTAAGAGTAAATAATTTATGTCCAGTTATGTAATTGAGGTCTGTGCCACTTGGCTGCCTTCTGCTGTGCTACTACCCTGAATGTGTTGGTCGGGATACACTTGATCTGCATCTGAAATTACACCCTATTCCATAATGCCACTACTTTTCAACAGGGTGCCATTTCTGATACAGCCATATTGGAACCCAGATCATTGTATTACTTCAACAATGCGTGTGGTTGATGTTGAAGCCTCTTGGGTTAAATGGGAGCACTTCCTACTATGTGACTGTTTGATCTGCTGCCCAAAGCTCTGTTCCCTCACATCAACAGTATGATTGTTCTATTTCTGATGTGTTAACTTGTAATGATCATCAGAGAGGTTATTTTTGTCAAGTATATTCCATTGCTTGCTTTGTGTGTGTGTGTGTGTGTGTGTGTGTGTGTGTGTGTGTGTATTTTAGTAATACCTTCTCCCTCTCCACAGGGAACATAATTGGTTCTGGAATCTTCATATCTCCTAAGGGGGTTCTAGAGCATTCGGGTTCAGTGGGTCTAGCACTGATTGTGTGGGTACTAGGGGGCTGCATAGCTGCCCTGGGCTCTCTCTGCTATGCTGAGCTGGGGGTCACCATCCCCAAGTCAGGGGGGGACTACTCCTACGTCACAGAAATATTCGGAGGCCTTGTTGGGTAGGTACCACTCATCCAATGTGTATAGTGTGTAAGCTTATTATGAAACAACACAAGGTTGGATTTGCTTGGTATTGGGGGTCAGAAGGGTTGGTTGAATATTCAATTGACTGTTCAGTTTATGCGATAAAAATAAATAAAAAATAGCTAATAAAAAACACAAAGTTGGATCAAAGCAATGACATATTTGACTGTTTCTCTCCCATCCCAGGTTCCTCCTCCTGTGGAGTGCGGTGCTCATCATGTACCCCACTACCCTGGCTGTCATCGCCCTCACCTTCTCTAACTATGTCCTACAGCCTGTCTTCCCCGACTGTGTCCCTCCATACTTGGCCACACGCTTGCTGTCAACAGTCTGTCTATGTAAGTACCGTGTTCCTGTGCCTGAACTCACTTATGTAAAGGAAATTAAGGTAACCCCAAAAAGATCTACTGTGTGCGTGCATATGTGTGTGTGAGTGCGTGCATGAGTGTGTGTGTGTGCTAAATATTTTTTTTGCAACGTGCATGCCCCGCCCACCTGAGAATCTGTATTTTTCAGCCATCTTTTTCCTGTGTTAGAGGGGTGCAAAATCCACTTGTCACTTAAATCGCGCTGGATTGATTGCTTTCATTTTACTCCTGCGACTCTTTCATACTCTTGCTTGCGCCTGTCATTTTTTCCCGTTAACGTTACAACCTGTCAAATGACCTGTCGAACACACCCCGGTGATGGCTGAAATGGGCTCAATGGAATGCATTGTCTTTCCTTTGAATCTATAAGAACGCTAAAGCTTAGTCTGGGATTTAACGCACCGTCTGGCCACTTCCATCACTAGAAGGAGAAGAAAGATAACTTTAATTTGATGGTGTTCATTTTTTGTGGAACTGAAAAAAGTAATCATTTAATACAGTTGAAATGTTTACAAATTAGATGCACTGAAATGAAAGCAACTTCCGAAAATGGGCACTCTGATTAGTGATATTATGTCTGATCTCCCAAACAATGTAAAGGATGTTAAAATAGGTGTAATTTAGAGCCAAGGGTGTTGATTGTTAATCCGAGGATATCCTGCTATTGACACACTTGTTGAAATATGCAAGGACGTGACAACAACAACAATTAATAAGGCAGTCTAGACCACACAGGTGAGTGCAGGTATGGTAGACAGAGCAAGTGTTTGGTGGTTGCTGCCCTGTTCCACCCCTTTATGTTAATGTTTTACTATATGCAGTGTATTTATTCAAATTACGCACATATAATTGTATTTATTTTAACACAAAATATTTTTTTTAAATACCTGATACAATAAGAAAATGTATATATGACTGCATTGTCAGAAGAAATAAGTAAAATGTTACAATAAGTTGAATACCTGAATTCATTATTTGTCTGTGCCAGTAAAATGTTTATGTGCTATAATTCAGTCAGTATCGGATTATAACAATTCTAAATGTTTGGAGTAGTATCTTCATCCATTGTCCAATTGTTGCATTTATTAAAATTGTTCTTTTAAACTTTTAACAATTTTAATGACTGTTGCTAATGTTTTTTATGGGAAGTTTCTGGTACAACAGAGTAAAATATCTCTTACATAACCATTGCCTCGAAGCCTTTCACAGTTGGAGACAGGAATATAAAAAAAATGCATGGTGTGTCAAATAGAAAATGGAAGGGAGAGACAGGAGGAAGGAGTGGGCAGTAAAGTTAGGGAAACAAAGACTGATGAAGTGTAACGTTTCTGAAGGATGTATAAAATCATCCCAATGGACAAACCATCCTTGTGGGCAAAATATGCTATGGGATGTCAGGGTGACCTCATTTTCTGGTTCTTAATTAGTTTTCAGTTCTTTTTCCAGAATATTTGATTTTTATCTGGTTATAGACTTATTTTTCTGGTCGCTTAAAAGACATCTAAAAACATCATTTTTTTTCAACACCGTCATGCCATAAAGACATCAGAATGACATCACTGCAGCCAGTTTTGTAAACCTGAGGGAACTTGTACTTAGGGCTCTATTCAATCAGATCAGCTTTAGCAGACATCGGCATAGCAGTTGTTTTGGCAGTCGGAGGTGGAACTGCATTAGAGCTGTCAAATCCACAAGCGGCTCCTGGCATTATACCTAAAGCGGACATTGCCATTGGCTGCACGGAGTCGCATTAAGAGAAATCCCATCCAGCCTTGTTTACAAGTTCGTACACTTGAATGTGCGATGTAATCTACACCTCCATTAGGATGATAGAAATCCTCATTATTTAGTTTAATAATTATTTCTATATACACTTTCTCGTTCTGAACTTCTAACGCGAGCGGGTTGGGTGTGGCTTCATGACAATGATCGCAACCGCTATGCAGGTGTCTGCTTTTGCTGGTTAACGCTTGATCTGATTGAACCTAGGCCTCCGTTTCAATGTCAAGTACAGTGTCCCATTTGTTGAAGTTAGAGCCAATTTTGTCACCTGTGATTTGTGTGTTGCTTTTTACTGGGTTGCATCCCTCAATCTATTGACCATGTGGACATGTTAGTATTACTAATTACTTGGCACCAAGCTTAGGAGTACCTGCACTGTACCTCCACTGATCCCTCACACTTGTTTGTTGGGGAACTGGATGCCAATGATCTGGAGAAAACGTGAGCTTTCTCTCAGCCTCTTCAGGGACCTGCCCACCTGTCCTTTCTGGGTTTTGTTCTGTTGCATCGGAAGCAGTTTGTTTTGGTGGCCTTGACAGCTCCCCTTTGTCTGTGAGAGCCAGGCCACCATGAGAGAGAGAGAGGCAAGCCAATGACAGTGATGGATGAGGTGAAACAATGTGCCCACCCCTTTGCCTTACCATTTCCCACATTCCGGCCTGCCATGGAAACTGCCAGGCCACTGCCACACTACCAACACCATGTGCCCAGGCGTGAGCCCTGACTGACTGGATAAGAGAACATGTCACATTACTGTGCACCTCACGGCTTGGCTGGCATCCCTAATGCCACATTCCGATTGGGCAAGAGCTCCCTTATGTGAGGGCAAACATCACTTCTGACAAATCATTGTAAATAACTTGCTTAGGCTACCTTATTTAAATAGGGTTTAAATAGTATTTTGTTTTCTCAAAGAAACGCTTAAAGTATTGTGTGTGTGTGTGTGTGTGTGTGTGTCTGCAGTGTTCCTGACCTGGGTGAACTGCTCCAGTGTGCGTCTGGCAACCAGGATCCAGGATGTTTTCACGGTGGGGAAGCTGGCAGCCCTGGGTCTCATCATAGTGGTCGGCCTGGTGCAGATCTGCAAGGGTGAGAAAAACACACTCACCTTCTCTCTAGAATGATTTTCATTAGCACACACTGTAGCAAGACATTTTGCGACTGAAAACGAAAATGAGGGTTTCTTATTTAGCAAATTCAGATAATAACTCCCAGTTTCGGACTGCTTTCTTCCATTATGTGCCTACTGAACATGATCCAGGTGCCGAAGGTTAATAGCACCTTCAACAAACCAATAGGACCTAGCACGTTTGTGATATTTACACGTTTTTATTGATCAAAGAGGCCATCATGCTATTTCCCTAAAACATCCCCCCAAGACATTGATGGTGAATTTGTACCCCTTCAGGTAACTATGAGGGACTGACGCCTCAGGTGGCTTTTGAGTTCAGCAGGATGCCCTCAGTTGGGCAGATCGCTCTGGCTTTCCTCCAGGCCTCTTTTGCCTTCAGTGGATGGAACTTCCTGAACTATGTCACAGAAGAAGTGGTTGAACCACGACGGTGAGCTTCTGGTTCACCAAACATTATTTTACTTTGCATTCTATTCTATTCTATTTGCAATTATCCATCCAATGCTGTGTACTGTATAACCAGTCCGGCATGAAAGCAAGCATTGTGGAGTGATGCACAGTTGTATGTTGTGATCTTGTGGTGGTATATCAATGAAAATATTGATAAGAAATGTAAGTGATATAGTGCAAAAAAATGTTTATATAAAGAGTTAGATTTTTTTATATACACAATGTAAAGTACACTACATTACCAAAAGTATGTGGACACCTGCTCGTCGAACATCTCATTCCAAAATCATGGGCATTAATATGGAGTTGGGCCTATAACAGCCTCCACTCTTCTGGGAAGGCTTTCCACTAGATGTTGGAACTTGCTTCCATTCAGCCACAAGAGCATTAGTGAGCTCGGGCACTGATGTTGGGCGATTATGCCTGGCTCGCAGTCGGCATTCCAATTCATCCGAAAGGTGTTTGATGGGGTTGAGGTCAGGGCTCTGTGCAGACCAGTCAAGTTTTTCCACACCGATCCCGACAAACCATTTCTGTATGGACCTTGCTTTGTGCACTGGGGCATTGTCATGCCGAAACAGGAAAGCCAAGGCAGCAGCTACTCTTCCTGGGGTCCAAACATATTAAAGCACTTACATTACATATAAAACAAAATATAAAACAGTACATCATATGACATTATTACACCACTACCTATCTACAATACAAAATGTTTAATACCACCATACAACAATATCACAATGTGTGCGTATGCATGTGTCTATATCCTTGAGTGTGTCTCTTCATAGTCCCCGTTGTTCCATAAGGTGTATTTTTTACCTGTTTTTAAAAAATCGGATTCTACTGCTTGCATCAGTTACCTGATGTGGAATAGAGTTCCCTGTAGTCATGGCTCTATGTAGTACTGTGTGCCTCCCATAGTCTGTTCTGGACTTGGGGACTGTGAAGAGACCTCTGGTGGCATGTCTTGTGGGGTATGCATGGGTTTCCGAGCTGTGTGATAGTAGTTTAAACAGACAGCTCAGTACATTCAGCTTGTCAACACCTCTTACAAAAACAAGCAGTGATGAAGTCAATCTCTCTTCCACTCTGAGCCAGGAGAGACTGACGTGCATGTCATTAATGTTAGCTCTCCGTGTACTTTTAAGGGCCAGCCGTGCTGCCCTGTTCTGAGCTAACTGCAATTTTCCAAAGTCCCTCCCTGTGGCACCTGACTACACTACTCTACCACACTAGTCTAGGTGCGACAAAACTAGGGCCTGTAGGACCTGCCTTGTTGATAGTGTTGTTAAGAAGGCAGAGCAGCGCTTAATTATGGACATACTTCTCCCCATCTTAGCTACTGTTGTATCAATTTGCTTTGACCATGATAGTCTACAATCCAGGGTTACTCCAAGCAGTTTAGTCTCCTCAACTTGCTCAATTTCCACATTATTCATTACGAGATGTAGTTGAGGTTTAGGGTTCAGTGAATGATTTGACCCAAATACAATGCTTTTAGTTTTGGAAATATTCAGGACTAACTTATTCCTTGCCACCCATTCCAAAACGGACTGCAACTCTTTGTTAAGTGTTGCAGTTATTTCAGTTGCTGTAGTAGCTGACGTGTATAGTGTTGAGTCATCCGCATACATAGACACACTGGCTTTACTCAAAGTGGCATGTCGTTAGTAAAGATGGAAGAAAGTCCAATGGCGGCGAGCTTTACACCACTCCAGCCGATGTTTGGCATTGCGTATGGTGATCTTAGGCTTGTGTGCGGCTGCTCGGCCATGGACGAACATTTATTGTGCTGACGTTGCTTCCAGAAGCAGTTTGGAACTCGGTAGCGAGTGTTACAACTGAGGACAGATGATTTTTACGTGCTATACGCTTCAGCACTCGGCAGTCCCGTTCTGTGAGCTTGTGTGGCCTACCACTTTGCAGCTGAGCCGTTGTTGCTCCTAACAGCATTTACAGTTGACTGGGGCAGCTCTAGCAGGGCAGAAACGGGTGTGGCTGAACTAGCCGAATCCACTAATTTGTCCACATACTTTTGTATATATAGTGTGTATTTCACATCAGCTGCCTTCTTATTTCCCCAACAATGCATGATTTATGAGACTGTGTGTTGATTGCATGGTTTGTATACTGTGTGGAATACCTCATCAGTAGTTTGTGTACCTCGTGGATGACCTCATCAGTAGTTTTTGGACATGTGGATTACCTCATCAGTAGTTTGTGTACCTTGTGGATGTCCTCATCAGTAGTTTTTGTACCGTGTGGATTACCTCATCAGTAGTTTATGTACCTTGTGGATGAACTCATCAGTAGTTTTTGTACCATGTGGATGACCTCATCAGTAGTTTATGTACCTTGTGGATGACCTCGTCAGTAGTTTTTGTACCATGTGGATTACCTCATCAGTAGTTTATGTACCTTGTGGATGACCTCGTCAGTAGTTTTTGTACCATGTGGATTACCTCATCAGTAGTTTATGTACCTTGTGGATGAACTCATCAGTAGTTTTTGTACCATGTGGATTACCTCATCAGTAGTTTATGTACTTTGTGGATGACCTCATCAGGAACCTACCTCGTGCCATTTACATCTCCATCCCATTGGTGACCTTTGTGTACACGCTCACCAACATCGCCTACTTCTCCGCCATGTCACCCGAGGAGCTGCTCTCATCCAACGCTGTGGCCGTCGTGAGTAACGCTGTTCACTTTGCTTTGAGACATGACAAAAACTGCCTGGAGTACTGTCCTTTAATAGTGTCATTATTTGATGTATTGACTTACTGAATGTTCAACACAATGCATGTTCACATAGAGATGCCCTTTAATAATTTATGAAAAATACTTGCTATACATCAAGTTATCCAAGGCTTGTTTTTTGTCCTAAATGTAAAACTTGTTCTGCTGCAGACATTTGGAGAGAAGCTCCTGGGGATGTTCTCTGTCATTATGCCCATCTCTGTAGCCTTGTCCACGTTCGGAGGCATCAACGGCTACCTCTTCACCTCCTCAAGGTATTTGTATTTATTATGGATCCCCATTAGCTGCTGTAAAGGGAGCAGGTACTCTTCCTGGGGTCCAGCAAAATTAAGGCTGTTATACAAATAACAAAAATTACAATATATTCATAACAGATTTCACAACACACTAAGTGTGTGCCCTCAGGCCCCTACTCCACTACCACATATCTACAACACAAAATCCATGTGTACGTGTGTGTATAGTGTGTATGTTATCGCGTGTGTATGCAAATCAAATCAAATCAAATGTTATTATGCATGACAAATAAGGTGTAGACCTTACCGTGAAATGCTTACTTACAAGCCCTTAACCAACAATGCAGTTCAAGAAGTAGAGTTAAGAAAATCTTTACTAAATAAACTAAAGTAAAAAATGTAATAAAAAGTAACACAATAACGAGGCTATATACAGGGGGTACCGGTACCGAGTCAATGTGCGGGGGTACAGGTTAGTCAAGGTAATTTGTACATGTAGGTAGGGGTAAAGTGACTATACATAGATAATAAACAGCGAGTAGCAGCAGTGTAAAAACAAAGGGGGGGGGGGGGGGGGGGGGGGGGGGGTCAATGTAAATAATCCGGGTGGCCATTTCATTAATTGTTCAGCAGTCTTATGGCTTGGCGGTAGAAGCTGTTAAGGAGCCTGATGAAGACAGCTTGTCTGTCGAAACTTTGGTTATAAGGTTATTAAATTATTGCATCTGAGCTCCTAGAGTGTGCGGCTCTCCTTTTCTTTTTCAAGGAGCCTTTTGGACCTAGACTTGGCGCTCCAGTACCGCTTGCCGTGCAGTAACAGAGAGAACAGTCTATGACTTGGGTGACTGGAGTGGCATGTGTCTATGTTTGTGTTGCTTCACAGTCCTCGCTGTTCCATAAGGTGTATTTTTATTTTATTTTAAATTCTGATTCTACTTACTGCTTGCATCAGTTACCTGATGTGGAATAGAGTTGAGGGGTCAACCCTGGGAAAAATGTCCTCTAGGCTGTGTCTCAATCCACAAGAATGCTGCCTTTGGATTGAGGCACATCCCTGGAAACGGAGGTGCATTAATGTTTATTAAGTTAGTTAAATGATTGTACATGGGTCTATACACCGTCTATGTTTTTATGTGTCTTTCTAGATTGTGTTTCTCTGGGGCCAGAGAGGGACATCTACCCAGCTTGCTGGCTATGATCCACTTTAAGAACTGCACCCCTATCCCAGCTCTCCTCTGCTGTGTAAGAAACTAAAACGTATATTCTACTATTTCTAGTACACACTCAGTGGCCAACTCAATGCAGCTGTTACAGCCCTTAACCACTGTCTGCGGTAGGCTTGCTCTGTGTTCTATACCTCAATCAGGTACTTAACAGTTGTCCTCACCTCTCGTCTCTGTCTCTGTCTCTGTCTCTGTCTCTGTCTCTCTCTCTCTCTCTCTCTCTCTCTCTCTCGATCTCTCTTTGTCTTGCAGTGTACTGCCACCATTGTAATCCTGTGTATAGGAGAGACGCACAACCTGATCAACTATGTGTCCTTCATCAACTACCTCTCCTATGGAGTCACCATCGCAGGCCTGCTCTACTACCGATGGAAGAAGCCCAAACTATACAGACCAATTAAGGTATTATTACTCCAGGCATGGTTCAATCATGTCCCCCTCTCTGACATTTCTGTAAAGTGTAGAACTGTTTTTATATAGGAGGATGTCAGTTTGTGCTAGTTTGCATTAGAGATAAATGATTGACACAGTAATTGACAAATAAGAGCAAACTACAGCAATACAGTGATCCTGTTCTCATCTACTGTTGAAAACTTCAGAGTAGAAGCAGGTCTTTCCTCTGTCCTCCTCACCAGGTGATTCATTGAAAGATGAGCGGCACGTGACACTCTCTCCATTATAAAAACGAATCTGTTCTCATCCCTGCTCATCAGGTAAACCTGCTTGTCCCTATCACCTACCTGATGTTCTGGGCCCTGTTGCTGGGCTTCAGTCTGTATTCTGAGCCAGTGGTGTGTGGTGTCGGGCTGGTCATCATGCTCACCGGTGTACCAGTCTACTTCCTGGGGGTGCACTGGAAAGGCAAGCCGAAGTGTATCTATGACTTCATCGGTGGGTGTCCTCCTCTTCAAACCTGAAAATACATGTTTGTCTTAATAAACTCTCTTTGCCCAAAAAATATCTGTATTTCTGAATTTAAATTCACCCACATGTATTTAATAGTATCCAACCTCCCTAAACCCTATATACTGTATATGACAAGTATCAAACCATTCTTTATTTCAGTAGACCCAGATACATGGCATTTAAAAGGAATCCTACTTTAGTGGTCTGGTCAGACACTTTGTTGTGATGCTAAACGTGGGCCCTGTTTTCTCACAGAGTCAGCGACCTACGTGGCACAGAGGCTGTGTTTCGTGGTCTTCCCCCAGTTCGACCCTATCGAGATCAGTCCGATCGAAGAATGGCCTGACACATCTTCCAACACTCTCTCTGGGAAGTCTTAAACTCTTTTTGCCTTCTGAAGTCTTTTTCTTTTTGTATATTCTGTCACTGTATGATGACATGGTCCGTTCCTTTTAGTGGAGCCCCTTCTCTGGTCTTTGGTCACCTGAGACTCATATCCATTTCTTTACTGCTAAGTGGAATTGCAAATGCTTTTCTTCTATTTTTCTACTAAGTCGTCAAGTACAACAAGCTAATGCCAACAGTATCACGTTTTGAAACGGACTTCATATGCCCTAAGGAACTATTTGCGCCTTTTCTGTATCTTTTCAACATGGCACTATTTTGGTTTTGACCTGACTGTGTATCACTGTGCCTTATAGGGAGAAATGTGTACCTTATTAGCTAATATTAATATTATCTATTAATGTATTTTGGAACGCTTAACGCTTTGTGTGTTCCTTATGAGAATTAGAAAAAGCACTGTGGTCTTCCATATTTTGCTTCATGCCAGTTGTTAATTTGCCTCATGACATGACTTCCTCAGATTTGTGAACATTTTCAGAACTATCTGAACATAGACTTCAGAGCCTTTGACTTGATTCCTTTGGAAATTCATCTCCTTAGCCAGCAGCAGCCAACAAGATAGATATGTTCTGATTGTATACTACTGATTGATAGATAGGTTGTAGTTGATAGTTGTGGGTCACTCTGTGTTTTTGCTTAGTTTATGTTTAACTCTTGCTATTGCCTTTTACACTACTGATTCTATGTCATACTATAAATACACACAACTGTAATGTTCACAGCTGACTAAATGACCCAAACTCCAATTTATATTGTTACTTGGAAGTAAAACTGCTCACAAAATGCTTGCTGCACTTTTCTAATGTTTGTTTCTAAACATGTTTTTTCTTTTTTTTCTTCCACACTTAAAACTAAACATGCTGGTAACCTGACAAAAACATACAAAAGGATTTTGCTTTTCCAGTGGAGTACTGTACTGCCACTGAATTTCTCTGCCCCAAACAGAGTTCTTTAACCACTATTTGTTCTGCCCTTGACTCTTACTGTAAAACAAAACTTGTGATTTGTTGTATTTCTTTTGAAATGAACATACATTTTAATTAGCATAGCTTGATAGATAGATACTGTATTGTACTAGATAGATAGATAGATAGATAGATAGATAGATAGATAGATAGATAGATAGATAGATAGATAGATAGATAGATAGATAGATAGATAGATAGATAGATAGATAGATAGATAGATACCACAAATTACTCAAGGAACATATGTTATGCCAATAACCAGATAAAATGATTTAGGATTAAGATACACTACATGACCAAAGGTATGTGGACACCTGCTCGTCGAACATCTCATTCCAAAATCATGGGCATTAATATGGAGTTGGTCCCCCCTTTGCTGTTACAACAGCATCCACTCTTCTGGGAAGACTTTCCACTAGATGTTGGAACTTTGCTGCGGGAACTTGCTTCCATTCAGTCACAAGAGCATTAGTGAAGTCGAGCACTGATGTTGGGCGATTAGGCCTGGCTCGCAGTTGGCGTTCCAATTCATCCCAAAGGTGTTCGATGGGGTTGAGGTCAGGGCTCTGTGCAGGCCAGTCAAATTCTTCCACACCGATCTCGACAAACCATTTCTGTATGGACCTGGCTTTGTGCACGGGGGCATTGTCATGCTGAAACAGGAAAGGGCCTTCCCCAAACTGTTGCCACAAAGTTGGAAGGACAGAATTGTCTAGAATGTCATTTGTATGCTGTAGCGTTAAAATTTCCTTTCACTGGAACTTAGGGGCCTAGCCCGAACCATGAAAAACAGCCCCAGACCATTATTCCTCCTCCACCAAACTTTACAGTTGGCACTATGCATTGGGGCAGGTAGCGTTCTCCTGTCATCAGGCAAACCCAGTTTCGTCCGTTGGACCACAGGATGGTGAAGTGTGATTCATCACTCCAGAGAACGCGTTTCCACTGCTCCAGAATCCAATGGCTGTGAGCTTTACACCACTTCAGCCGTCGCTTGGCATTGCGCATGGTGATCTTAGGCTTGTGTGCGGCTGCTCGGCCACCTACACCCGTTTCATGAAGCTCCCGACAAACAGTTATTGTGCTGACGTTGCTTCCAGAGGTGTGCTTCAGCACATGGTGTGAGCTTGTGTGGCCTACATGTTTCCACAGTACTTACAGTTGACCGGAGCAGCTCTAGCAGGGCAGAAATATAATGAACTGACTTGTTGGAAAGGTGGCATCCTATGACGGTGCCATGTTGAAAGTCACTGAGCTCTTCAGTAAGTCCATCCTACTGCCAATGTTTGTCTATGGAGATTGCATGGCTGTGTGCTCAATTTTATACACCTGTCAGCAACGGGTGTGGCTGAAGTAGCCGAATCCACTAATTTTAAGGGTTGTCCACATACTTTTGTATATATAGTGTATCATTATTTAGTTTGTTAGTACAACATTGAGTTCTCTCTCCAACAGCTGCCATAATCACTAAGCCCCAGTCAGGTAAAACACACAGATTATGCAAGATGTATTACTACTTTATATCCAGTTTAGTTCAGATTTCTAGAGCAGTCTTGATATGAAGAGATTTTACACTGTAAATTATTTGTAAAGCATCAGGTGTTTACAATGGGTTCAGTACTTGGAATGTTAACTGGAATGTATTTTAGTGCACTTTTTTGTAAATGAGAAAATAACAATAATAGCACAATAAATCGAATACCTATCAGAAATAAATGACTTCATGCTTTGTCTCATTGCCATCCTCATTTACCATAATTTTGTATTCAACTATTTAAATGTGCCAATAACGTACCGGTAACTGCCAGCCAGAGAGAAAAATAAAAAAAGTATTTACGTCACTTTAAAATATTTTATACCATGGCATTGTTCAATACATGTTTCTCATTGGCTTGAAGGGCATTCTAAAGCGTGCATTATTTCCATATAAAGCATGGTAGAATTCAATGGCTATAGTTCATTCTTACATGCAGTGGCGACCCATCATTCAGGGCAGGTGAGGCAGAGCCCCATCTGTTTTGAGCCCCACCTGTTGAGCTAAAAAAATATTATAATAATAACGTTATGCATGTTATTTTGGAATTAATGTGTCACATATCAGTTTGCAAACAATAAATAATAAAAATACATGGTCTCTTTTTTGCTTTCTTGAGTAAGGCAGCTCCAAATGCAGGTGTTTCAGCGTACCTCAGTGCTTTCTGTGGTGGTGGGGCAGCCAGCGGAAAATGTGTAGGGGTTGTTAATGTTCTCTAGTTGCGCTGTGATTGGCTTAGTGTTCTGTCACTCATGGGGACACTACGTCACCGCAAAATCTAAGGGTAGAGCTCGAAAATTCAAGCTCCTTGGGTGCTGCCATAGAGTTACATTAGAAGTGCCCATCCAAGAAGGCTCAAGGTCATTGGCCACAGATAAAATTACGTCAAATCACATATCTACAGTAGCTTTGATTGGACTAATCATGTCAACATCGTACTTTCAAAATCTTAGCTAGCAAGCTAGCAGTCATCATCATGAATCAAGTCGAAAATCTACTGGCAAATCCTTTTCAATCCTTGTCATATGAAGATAAATAATGATGAGAAATTATAGATAAAATGTATCTAAGATAAAAGAACGGCACCGAGGGGATGGCTGCCGTTTTATGAGCTCCTAAACAATTGTGCTATTTTGTGTGTTTTTTTTGCATTGTTTGTAACTTATTTTGTACATAATGTTGACGCTACCGTCACTTATGACCGAAAAGAGCTTCTGGATATCAGAACAGCGATTACTCACCTCGAACTGGACAAAGATTTTTGTCTTTAATGAGTCAGACGCGAAGGATATAATGTTGCTCCCAGACAAGGCCCAAATTCCTGTAATTCGCATGAAGAAAAGAAGGAAATAGAGGGGGCGGAGATCAGGGTGCCTTGTGAGAATTTGTCGGCGAGTGGGTAACCCGCCTCTACCATCGGTCTATTGGCCAACTTGCAATCACTGGAGAATAAACTGGATGAGCTCCGTTTGAGACTATCCTACCAACAGGACATTAAAAACTGTAATATGTTATGTTTCACAGAGTCGTGGCTGAACGACGACACGGATAATATACAGTTGGCTGGGTTTTCCTGTTAATTGTCAGGACAGAACAGCTACGTCCAGTAAGACGAGGGGTGGGGGTGTGTGTCTATTTGTCAATAACAGCTGGTGTGCAATGTCTAATATTAAGGTGGTTTCAAGGTTTTGCTCGCCTGAGGTAGAGTACCTCATGATAAGCTGTAGACCACACTATCTACCAAGAGAGTTTTCATCTATATTTTTCATGGCCGTCTGTTTACAACCACAAACCGACGCTGGCACTAAGACCGCACTCAACGAGCTGTATAAGGCCATAAGCAAACAAGAAAATGCTCATCCAGAAGTGGCGCTCCTAGTGGCCGGGGACCTTAATGCAGGCAAACTTAAATCCGTTTGACCTCATTTCTACCAGCATGTCACATGTGCAAGCAAAGGAAGAAAAACTCTAGACCACCTTTACTCCACACACAGAGACGCTTACAAAGCTCTCCCTCTCCCTCCATTTGGAAATTCTGACAATAATTATATCCTCCTGATTCCTGCTTACAAGCAAAAACTAAAGCAGGAAGTACCAGTGACTCGCTCAATACGGAAGTGGTCAGATGACGTGGATGCTACGCTACAGGACTGCTAGCACAGACTGGAATATGTTCCGGGATTCATCCAATGGCACTGAGGAGTATTCCACCTCAGTCACCGGCTTCATCAATAAGTGCGTCGATGAAGTCGTCCTCACAGTGACTGTACGTACATTTCCAACCAAGCCATGGATTACAGGCAACATCCGCACCGAGCTAAAGGCTAGAGCTGCCGCTTTCAAGGAGCGGGACACTAATCCGGACGATTATAAGAAATCCCACTATGCCCTCAGACGAACCATCAAACAGGCAAAGCGTCAATACATGACTAAGATTTAATCCTACTACAGTGGCTCTGACGCTCGTCGGATG